TTTAAGGAAGAATGTGCAACTTTTTTATCCAGTAGATGTCGCCCTTGAGCACAAGCATGAAACCAAAACAAACTGACTCAGTGTGGTGGAGCTGTTTGGCGACACCTGAAGCACACTGAATCCTCCGCTCTCCTACAGCGACACAGCTCCAACCCCGCTCCCCTCGCGTTTCTACAAAGGAGTTGTTGTCAAATTGAAACTGACCATAATTAAGCACTAAGCGCAAGCGACAGACAAAATTGTCCTTGTCTCGAGCTGCATTTTTGTGTTGGCAGGCTAATTGTAGCGCTCTTTAGTTTGCTCGTATCTTCACATTGCATGTAAATTTACACGGAATGGCCATGATCTAAAAACTCTTACGTGACATTCAAATAAGAAGTGAGTACAGTGTGTTATTCTACTTTTCTCTAGTCCCTCACTTACGCAGCTTTTATACGCGAGGGGATGAGGCGGCTGGCCGTCCCGTCCATGTAAACACGGCTCAGACAACATCACAGACAGCGGGACTCGCGCGTCTTACTCAATTGCAGACAGTCATGACTCAGATAGGGCTTTCACACTCTGAAGGGAAAAAAGAGCCGGTTTAATATTACATTCACTCTTGGTGTGGTGTTTTTAGATTGTGCAAAAAAATGATGTTTCACAAATCCTTCAAATCTGTTGGAGCACTGAACCATTCCTCGGTGTGTGAGCGATGAGAACATGCCAAAGCTTGTAGTTAAGCAGGCATCAGGCAGACTTTACATGCAGTGAATGAGAAATAGGGCACCTTTTATCTTTATGAAAAAAAATACACCGATGAACATTTGAGCTAAGCAGCTGTAAGCCAGACCAAACACTGAACCATTTTTAGATTATAAAATTGAGTCACCAAGCTGCGTGAAGAATGCTAATTTGCTCTGTATTTGGTTTGCCACACTGATAAGTTAAAGTGTTTTCTCATCATTATGTTCTTCACCTTGAGCTTTGCCAGACCACACAGTCAGTGACGACTGTATGAGGCCAGTGAGACGATGTCTTGAAATATTTAGAAAGCAAATTTAAATGCAAGTGTATTAGCTTTTCTTTATCTTGTGTTAATGATACCCTCTTTTGTTATTTGTTGGAGTTCCCTTTACACGTCAACAGCAATTAAAAAGAAAAAAAGCTCTGACATTGGCTCCAGAATGACGGAGAATGCTGGTCTGATACAGTTAACATTTGTTCTCATTGACTCCTAAGAAGTAGCCTGACTGTGCTTGTTCATCTGTTTAGGGGGGTCCTTTGGGATGGAAGCCTTAAGGGAACGCTCGGATATTTGTCTTTTCATACTTCAAAAATCTTGCAAAAGAATTAACATTATACTCAGCCATAAATAAGCAAATGCTTCCTTGCTAGCACTAAAAAGTAAAAGGTTTTAATCCAGCGTTCTTTTTCCTTAAATGTTCATTTATCTGCCATTATCTGCCAAATATATTTCAATAAAGCATTATCTGAGTATTTTTACATCCAAGAAATAGAATGAGGTTTTCTGGCACAACTTCATTAACTACCAAGGTGCATGGAGAAGGAAACGGTTGAAGAGGTCAAAAATCTCCAGCAACATTTTCAGTTTAAAGATCGACTTTATCAGACCTCTATTTTTACATCAAAATAAATAAATTTTTTCTTCCTGTAAAACTTTTCAATAGTCTGATGACTCATCCTGCGCTCAAGGTTGTTTACTAAAAAGCTTTTGTGGAAGCGAACGATCTAATCAAATTCATCAAGATTTATATCCGCTTTCAACAATCTGGTACTTGAATTTATTCAATTAAATTGTGATTAATAAAGTTCTATCTTATTTAAATTTCTATAACTATCCTCACTGCGACGTGAAACAACCACAACCAAAACACCCCCATGACCAAACGTAAACACTCGACAACTAATGAACATCTAAACATCCAGAAGCCAACAAGGGAAGGCAAAGGTTGCAACATCGATGACGACAATGTCACCAAGCGAGGGGACGGCTCGGCAGGTCCTGAAGGTGCAATTAGCGCTCTGCTACAGGAACAACGTAAGAGAACGTTCCTCCTCTGAACCAGAACATTGTTACACTAATTAATAACTGAGCCGCACCAGGGACCCTTCAGCATAACAACAATAACAACAGGAAAACTCAAGAACAAAAGAAGGATGTATCAACAAGACAAAATATTTTTTTCCGGTGCAGCTAAAAGGAAGTTTAAAACCAAAAAAACCTTTCAACTCTGAAAGAGAGAAATAACAGAATGCTAGTCTCAGTCTATAAAAGAAGAGGTAGAGCATCATTTTACAATGCACAGGGAAACTATGCAATATAAGCAAAAAATAATCCATTTTATTAACAGGCTCACACTACATTCAAAAGATGTCGGAAAATCCCCTGAAGTATCTGATCAGTTACACATAAGGTAGCAGTTTGTTAAGTGAAGCTTTATAAAAATAAAAAAAAAGACATTGCATCTGGTTTTAGACCTAACTGCAAGTAATTCATTTCCCCCCCTGACAGAATTTATTATTGACAGGAATTCCAGGTACTTCCATGGATGCTTTTTGGACATAGCTGCTCTTATTACTCTGAACAATTTGACAAGAAACTCTTTTCTCTTCCTTTTTGAGGCTTGTATAAATCTTCCAATTTCATATGTTTTCACCGCTGATTTTAATAGTAAATAATGTCATGAATAATGCCTTTTAATTAAGATAAGACTGCAGCCACCTTCAATGTGATTATTTACAGCAGTAAATTGAATCCGTCATAATGTAAATAAAGATCCCACTGTGAGCTGAATGTATACGCTTAAACAGTATAGTAACTTAAGTCAGGATTAAGGAAAGTGATTTTGACAAATGTAAATTGATTACTTAAAATATGCACATATATATATATATATATATATAAAATGCACATTGAGGGGATTTTTGCACAAACAAATGTTCACATAGATGTGAATGATGACTATAACTCACGGGGGGGGGGGGGTACTATATGCAGTGAATAGGAAAAACAAACAAAATGTAAGCCTGTTACTGTGTCATTTTCACAAATATGTAAATATAGAGGTTGTGTAAATATAGATGTGTTGACAAATGATACATTTTACTTATGACATTGCCAGGCTGTTTGTCACTAGTTTCCAGTGTCAGTGCTTAGCTTAGCTAGGCTAGCTGCATGCTAAGATTTTTTCTTCAAAAAATGTTAGCGCTAGTTGCTGTTCTGTTTTTTCTCTGATTACACTGCCCCTAGAAGTCACCTTTCATCACATGCAGATCAATTTAATCAAACAACTGCAACTAAAATAACCTTAAAATCATCTTGACACCATAAAACAACCGATATTTTCTTTGCATAATTCTTCTCTAAATAACATTCACCACTCTGAGCTGTGAAGAGTGGTGAAGCAGCTTATCATTTCTCTACACATCTTGTGCTTTGCTCAAAGGCAAGGCACAGTTTAAGAAAAATACGTCTTTGTTCCCAGTACATATTTTGCCAACCAAAAGAACTTTTCCTGCAGAAAGAGTTTCTTGACTTTTGATATATTATGTCACTACGTTTAGTATTTTTGCCTTCACTATTTCTTTTTTTTTTTTTTTTGAGACAGACCCCCCAACCCCCTGGTCAAACTTTATCTATCGATCGATCTATCTATCTCGTTAAATACACTTGTTTTTTTGTTTTTTAACCAGTGAAGCCTCCCTCTGCAGGTCAGGACAAAATGCAGGTTTAATGCACATGTGCATTAGCCTGTTTTAGAACCAAAAGCCTCGATTCAACTCATCCTCTTTACTGTAAAAATAGGGTGTTAGTGCCCTACGGGGAAAATCTAAACCTTGTAACAGAATTAGTTTTCAATATACATTTTCTATACATTTATATGTAGATTCATATTTGACTGTCTTTTTCCCCAAAATCACCCCACAGCCCTATATTCTGTGCTGAATCCAGCACTGCATGGACAGGGACTTAGTCAAATGGCACATTAGAGTGCAGATCCTTCTCAGACATATGGGCTCATAAAACAGTTGAGCAAGCATGCACACACTGCTGTTTCTAGGAGATGAAATGAGACACTCAGTGACTACACTCTTATAATCTGGCTGATGCCAACGCGGCATCCTCCCCTGCTCAAAGGAAACACTTCACATTCATTTATTCTTTCTGAGCAGAAGGTTTGGGGTTTTGATTGGGATTAGATCTCATTTTTCAAGAATGGTGCATATGCACATTTGGTGATATAACTGTAATGCATATATAATACTGTTTGGCCTTACTTTCTCACTCTGTCAGATATGGTTGCAGTATGTATACAGTTACACTTAAGCCATAATGAATTAGTATTACTCATTGGATCTATGATTCTAGTATAAACAACATGAATAACAGACCACTCCTTGTGGCCTGATTACATTCCACTCTGGTGCATAAAGGAGGCTATATTTTTTGGTTTTGCTGAGTTTTAGTTTTGGCTCTATGGAAAAAAACATTTTGATATTGCACCAAGTATGTGGTTAAAGGATAAAACAAAACTCCAACAGAGCACAGGCTGTGGTCTTATAACATTTGATTAGGCTACATGTACAGTGTGTCAGGGGTTTCTATAGAATGGAACAAATGTGAAAAAAAGTTAGACAAAAAGGTCTTTCACTTTAAAACACTGATGTTGATGTTAATCTGTTTTTGTTTTATTTTTCAAATGAGACCTTTATAAAGTGTGCACCCTGGGAAAATGAGTTACTGCTATGACAGAAGAAAATAAAGAACTAACTAAGTTAGTTTCAGGATTGCTTATTACTTAAAATGTGTTTGCATTAAACTTGACAAACTGTTTATCTTTGGATTTTGAATTATAAGATTTACAAAAAGCTGGAGCTCATTTTACTTGCTAATAGGCTAACAGCTATTCCGTATTGTTCAATTTTCTTGCTTGTTTGTCGAACAATGTTGAAAAGGACAGTGGACACTAACCATTATTTTTTGCCTTGGCTCACAGGTTGTCTGAAGAGCTCCCTCCAGAGGCTGCCTGCTGACTGAAACAAGCACAACTCTGTATACTACCAGGAGCTTCATGAGTGTGTGCACATAACCCCCACTCCACCTCGGTGTGTCTGTGTGTGTGTGTGTGTGTGTGTGTGTGTGTGTGTGTGTGTGTGTGTGTGTGTGTGTGTGTGGGTGTGTATGTGTGTGTACCATGCTGTGGACAGTGCTACTAGCGCTGCTGGTGCTTCTGTTGCTTCAGACTCAGTTGTCTGTGTGCTTGAGGGAATTACGCAGCAGGGGTTCCATCCTGCCTGCCCACTCCTCTTCATCCTCCTCTTCACCCTCCTCTTCCTCCCCCTCTCACAATGCCACCCAGCAGCGACTCCCCGGAGCCATAATCATCGGCGTTAGGAAAGGAGGAACCAGGGCCTTGCTGGAGATGCTCAACCTGCACCCAGATGTGGAGGTGGCAAAAGCTGAGGTAACAAATGAATAAAAAATAAATGAAAACGTTACTTATATATTGTACTGTAACACAGTATGTTGAAAACTGAGATTTACATTTGTGCTGTACTTAACTAAAGTTTCAAGGATGTATCTCCATCTGAGGTCACAACATACTTCTGCTTCTTTTAGTGTTGCAGTCTTGGAGAACAATTACAAAAAAAACTGCAAACGGTGGTATAGATAGCCAAGCGTTTCAAGACTTACTAATCTTTCACCAGTTGAAATAAACTATTTTGACCTAGGATTTAAAGCAGTCATTGAGATTTTTTTTAAACTTAGATCTGTGTGGATGCTTATTGAGTCTTGAAACTGTATTTTATATTTGCCTTTTCAATATTTCAAGCCATATTTGCAGATGCATTAAAGAAAGGTTTCTATCACTTCTTTTATCACTTCTGCTCTCCTTATCTTAACAAACGCCACTCTCTGTTCCTCCATCAGGTTCACTACTTCAACGTGGAGGAGCACTACAGCCGGGGTCTGACATGGTACCGTGCACAGATGCCCTTCACACTCCCTGGTCAGCTGACAGTGGAGAAGACCCCAGGCTATTTTGCGACCCCTCAGGCTCCTGCGCGGGTCTGGAACATGAACCCTGCTGTCCGCTTGTTGCTCATCGTCCGTGACCCTGCAGAGAGGCTGGTGTCCGACTACACCCAAGTCCTCCATAACCGCCTGACCCGCCACAAACCCTATCAACCGCTAGAAGAGCTCCTGCTCCTCAAGGGCCACATTGACCCCAGCTACAAGGCGCTGCAGAGGAGCCTGTACCACCAGCACCTGGCCCGCTGGCTTGAGGTCTTCCCCAGGGAGCAGATACATGTTGTAGACGGTGATGCCCTCATACGGGATCCCTTTCCCGAGCTAAGGAAGGCCGAGAGGTTTTTGGACCTGCCGCCCAGGATAAGTCCCGACAACTTCTACTATAACACCACCAAGGGCTTCTACTGCCTCCTTTCATCTGGACACGACAAGTGCCTGGATGAGTCCAAAGGCAGGCCGCATGCCCCGCTCAGCCTCCAGGCATTTAAGAAACTCTGTCACTACTTCAGGAAGCCCAACCAGTTGTTCTTTGATATGGTGGGCAGGTCGTTTTCCTGGTGCTGATAAAATAGTGACACTGGAGTTAAAACACCTCCTGAAAAGTGCTGACACATTCAGGAACAAAAAGAGAAAGACGAGCAGTTTTAAGTGTTTTTTGTAGATAGATGAGTGGAAAGATCTCAGTTCAGTTAAAGTTATAAACATCTGTTGTTGTTGTTGTTGTTGTTGTTGATACCTACTCAGGTTAAATGTGGCCAATGAAAGCAGCACATGTGTTTGTGAAGATGTGTGGAGAACTCAGACTGCTTGTGTTGATCATGTGGCTGACACAAACTTTTACCATGATGCCTCCTTGGATAGACTCTCTTGACAAAGCTTTGACACCTGTGCCATACACAACTTTTAAGATGAAAACACAACTAACTGCCATTTAATGCTGATTTTGGGTAGTTTCAAGATGTGCCGACTTTGAGGTGGCGCAGACATGAACGAAATGGCGAAAAAAATGGTTGAATTCTTTCATTGTTGCACTATGAACTCTAACTACAAACAAAGTCAATCAACAATTTCAAACAGAATCTGACTTCTTGGGATGATTACTCTCAACAGTTTTTGTGTTAGCAACAAATACTTTAGTTTAGGCATTTGTTCTTTGTTCATTTTTTTGGCTGATCTAGAAAACATAATTTTTAAGCTCTTTTATAAGTAGACACACTGAAAACTTGCCTTTGTTTCTTTTAACTTCAAAGGACAATGTAATGCTAGTTGTAGTTTGTGTTTTAATACATTCTTCTAATAAATGTCTTCAGTCCTTATGCTTCCTGTGTGGTTCCAATCCAGACTGCATTAGAGGTTTTGAGAGTTCAAAAACGTAAAATGTACAGACATTAGTTGCCACTGACAGGTCTCTGTGAAAGCTCTTCTTCTTCAGAGTAAATGAAGATGTTCTCTGTCACTGTCTATCCAACATATTCTTTCACGATCAAAGGAGGCCTGTGTTTCCTTTCATCATGACGTTACTCCTGTTGAGGACTTACCTTCAGTTTCACCACCCAACTGTAACTGATCACACCTGAGGGGCTGCATATCTTTGAAGACTTTATTCAGTGCAAGAATGGATTTGATTTGATTTTTTTTAACCTTTATTGAGTTTATCTGGAAGGACTTTTTCAGACTAAAATGTCTCAACATCAAAGTTTAAAACATGGGATTAAAGATTCAGCTCTGATTCTAACATCTCCATTTACCATTTACCTTATGGTAAATGACCTTTGGCTGTCAACCTCCAGAGACAATTGTTAGACAGATAGAGATGTAAGAATAAACTAATGATTCCCCCTCTTTGAAGATGTGAGGCAGTTGTGTCTTTCATGTGTTCCCGCAGAGGCTCGTACTCATGTGGACAACACATCCGCTGTCACGTTTGATAGAGAAACCTTGACTGCATGTGTTTGGGTCCCTGAGTTTGTAGCAGTTTCATAACCACCTCAAAGCCCCAGCTATATTTCAGATGTGACAGTCTGGTATAGGAGTAATCCGCAGGATTAAATGTTCTGTTTGATAGGTGACATATTTTTTTGCGAATCAAGCATCGTTCTGAGACTACCTGTCATTCAAAAAGTGTGTGCAGGACATAGTTTTACTCGGATTTTTGATATTTCAAGATGGCTATCACTGCTCATGGTGACAGTAGAAGTTTGTCTTCTTTTTTTAGGAATTTCGCGCTCAAACTTTTAGGAATAACAATGTCCAGCTTTGGTTTATCAAAAGCATACCTGCAAAACTAATAGCAGCCTCAGCTTCTCTTTTCATTAAGTGCTCATAGGGAATGCTTCAGTATTGTTGCATGTTGAAACATTTAACTAAGAGGGTAGACCTTTTGCATGCTGATATTAGCATTTAGCTAATTTAGCATTGTGTCTGCAGCAAACAGCAACAATTAATCAAAATGTGTAAAATAAACGCTGATGCACAAATGTAAAATCAACAAAAGCCTTGACTAATTTATTTTTAAAACAAGTTTTGTATCTGATACTTTTTTTTAAATATCCCTTTGCAGCTGATAATTGTTATCAAAAACGTTATTATCAAATAATAACTTCGGTCAGTCTCTGACTTTTCCTTTAGTGCCAACATAAGACTAACATTGGTAGTTTTAAGGGTAATGTAACAATGACTTTTGGATGGATTATCAGAACATTTGGTACAGCACAGACTTTACAGTCAGAGTGATTTGGCGAAATATTAGATAGCTCCTGTCTTTTCATTTAACTTCAACTTCAGGTTGTTTGTGTTGCATGTTTTTTTAACTAACGCAGAAAAATCCAGTGTTAAGTGTAAAGCTAGCATTTTTCTCCTCCATTCCTATATCAAGCTTCAAAAAGCGCCTAGCTTGGCTGTAAAGTCTTGTTTCTACAACAAACAGCAAACATACAACTCATTATTTATGGCAAATGCAGACCCAAAAGCACATAAAGCAGCAGTAGTCAGATACCAGTATAGCAAATATTGTGTTTGTCCCCGTATCCCCTTGAGCAAAGGATACACCTCAATTTGTGTTGATTTTAACATACGTGTAAGCTTTGAGACCATCCTATGGTTAAATATTTCTTGAATTGACTTACCCAAAATAACCTCGCCCAGTCAGTGTCTGGTCCCAAAGAGGACCCCATTAGACCTCATGCTGTCTTATGGTGTGTGTTGTTGTCAATTAAATCTGTTCAATGCACACAACAACACACACAACAGAACTGCCTTTCTTGTCATAAGTCCTGGAGAAAGTAGTTCTGAACCACTGCACACATTTTTAACACGATGTACATGGTTTTAAAACTCATCATAGCATGGAAACTGTTCTTTTAATAATATAACTGATTTGAATTTCACTCTTGATTTGTGAGACTGCTATTCTGGTGGTTTTAGATTTTAACAGCTGCCTTCAATACTTTCGATTATATGATGCCCTTGTGGTGTCTAGAAAATCGTGTGGGGATCAAAGATGCTGCACTCAAGCAGTTTTAGGCCTACTTGTAGGAGCTTCCTTGTACACCTGGGGGACTATTCCTCAGAGATAGCTGCACTTACGTGTGGTGTCCCAGAAGGTTCAATTTTGGATCCCATACTATTTTCTTTATCCTGCCCCTGCCGTCTATTTTTGAGAAATGCAATGTCTCATTCCATTTGATTTCAGATGATGTACAAATCTACATGCCTTTGAAATGATAAAGTAAAGGTTCACTGCAGCCCTTACTTGATTGTCTGAGAGACATTAAAACATGGATGTAAAAGAACCAGATATAGAATGATGGCTCCAAAAGTACAGACTCCCACAAGGGCAGTTTGATAAAAGAGAGAGTTTATTTCACAGTCCAGGTCAGTACACAGGTTCTTTCAGAGAGGAAAACAAATTAAAAAAAAGGAAGCAGCAAAAAAGGAAATACTCAAAAAAAAAGTCAGGCAAAGATGAAATGCTAGAAATGTTCGCCAAAGAAATGCTAAAAAAAAAAAGAAAAGGCGACACCAGGGAAGACACAACAAACGGCAACCTGAAGGAAGACAAACAGTGTTTAAATACACAGACAATTAAGGGGTAACGAGACGCAGGTGAGTACAATCAGGACCGGGACGCACAAGGCGGGAAGTCACTAGGAGCAGGATCTGGAAGACAGACACATGTACAAAGTAAGTACAAAGTACCAAATAGTGAGTATTTTAAAACAGGAAATGACAATAATACTGAAATAAATTAACTGAAACTAAAAGGTGACATAAGTACCTTGATGGAGCACGTCAGGATGAGTTTAACTTCCCTTATCTAAATGGAAACAAGACAGAGATCATTGTGTTTGGACACCTTGAGCTGCTGCTGGAAGCAGGCACTCTTGGCCCTCTTGCCTCTAAGGCTACGTTAAAAGAATCTTGGTTTTTATATTGACAATGTTTTTAAATTTGACTGGCAGATTTATTTTGTTGATAAGCTGAACTCCTATCAGCTGAGACTAAAAGCCAAAGTGAACGCCTATGTCCCTCCCAGTGATTTAGAGAGAGTGACACACATTCATAATATCTGGACTAGACTATTGTTATTATTTGTATGTGGGTTTGGACCAGGGGTCCATCCAATGCCTACAGCTGGTTCAAAATGCGCTGCTTACCGCTACACAGGAAAAAATAACAGGGGCCACAATACCCCTGTGTTGCTGTCCCTCCCAAATAAGATCTGTCCCCATCATCAAATGTTTTCAATTATGGATAAAGACCCATTTCTTCTGTTTGGAGATGAGAACGTTTTATCCCAACAGATTATGAATATACAATGGTTTTATCCCAATAGATTTTACTATTACTTTAAATATTGTTTTATAATGTATGATGTATGCTTGATTCAAGTTTTACCTTTCACAACTTAAAGCCCTTTTGTTATTGATGTGTATGAATATAAAGTTGACTAGATTTGACTTGATTTAGAATTTAAAAATACCTGAATTTGTGGATTATTTTTAGAAAAAACGTATATATCAAATCAGTGTGACTCAGTCCAGTTGTGGGCCTGATTCTGGAGTCATTAAAAACTTAGTTCTGTACTAAGTCATTACAAGATCATCTAAGTGAGTTTCTTGGCTTTTAGTCACCTCACAACCTGCATAGCAAATTATATTCTCAGTCATTAATCTGAGTCAGAAAAAAGCTTCAGAAATGGTTGTGAAGTTGTTGTTTTTTTAACTAAACAACAGTTTTCTGTTCCTGTCATCCTCAGTGTGCTGCTTGTTCTTTTGCAGTCTTATCACTCATCTCTCTGAAATCATTTGTAGCTTATATTATACAGAGACACTTTGCTGTTTGGAAAAAGCAAAGGAAATAATGAGAAGAGCATGGAACTGAGATGTAAGTGAAATTACAAAATAGAAAGTCATGGTTAGACATTTCCATCTCCGTCGGGGAACTAGGGAGGTGAAGCGGTTCTCATGAGTTAAGTCAAAGTAATTTATAACTTAATATCTATATTAACAAATACTCTTGGATTTCTACAATACTTAGAACAAGTACAGAATACAACACCCTCTATCCTTTGACCTTTGATTTGGATTAGAAAAAAAATTCCCAAAGCCCTTTTAATGGAGAAAAACCTGAAAAACATTTAGGAGTGGCAAAAGAGGAGGCTATCCTGACGGACGTGCAACAGGAGCCTTCAGAATAAACCATCAGGAGATTAGAGTGCGACATGGACATTGTTAATCTACATGGAAAAAAACAATAACCACGTCCACAATAATTTTTAAAGATATGAAAGTCTTTAAATGTTTACTTAGCAACAAGAATAATGGGCAGATTGATGAGAGAGTGCTCTTTTTCAAGAATGCTATGACTTGAAAGGCGAACTCAGCGTTGACTTGAGTTTGTAACAGGTGTAAACAAGCAGCCTGTCCATGCAGTTTTAAAGACGTTATCTAGTGGTAAATAAGTAATATAAATAAATAGTAAATAAGTCCTGAATCAAACAGAAATCAGGAAAATACACAACAGATGATGAAAAACTTTGAAATTTGCCCTTATTATGGTTGCAGTTTAAACTTGACATCCCTTTTATATTAATTTGCATGTATTTTTTAAATCTAACATATTTTTCTAGTTTCAGTTCAGGATTTTAAAGATGGTGTTTAAATCTCACTGAACTTGTACTTGAAATTAAATAATTTTCCATTGACAAGTTAAAAATCATTTTAAAAATTCCAACCTATTTGCCCTCAACTACTGTTTAAAGAAGTATGAAGGCCTTGTTTTGACGCTGCCATTTAGAAATTCCATTTTAAGAGGAGTCTTTAAAGGTTTCCAGGAACACTAAAAAAGATTAACAGCACAATTGGCTTTTGGTAAAAAACCCTAATTCCTATCACAAAAATGTAGCAAAGGTATTAAAAAGGAAAATTGGAGAAAGCACACTTGACATATTTCATCCTTGAATAAGCAAGGCTATTTAAAGAACTTGATTCTCACTAAACTGACTGTGTCTGATTGATCCTTGCTCATGTTAGTGAGCCCAATGTTTAAGTTGTTCAGATAAAGCACCTCCTGAGTGTCAAAGCCCATTGGGCCTGCAAACAGTAGTTTTATTTCATTTTTTAACCATCTCTAGGGAGTAAACAGGACATTTTCTACAATAGAAAATAAAGTGTGTTTTGCTTTACTATCAGCATTTGCCCTCATCAAGTGTAAGAGTTTGGCAGGCATGCATTTATATAGAGATCAATGTTATTGTACATTTATCTTTTCTTGTCATTCCATTTATTTAACTTGCCAAGAAGTGTTGATCAGCAAGGGTTTGAGATTATTTTAATGTCAGTGGCTCCCCCTGTTGGCAAGTGGTGATACCACAAAGATGAAATTCTGTTCAAACTGATGGATAGGCCTTTTTTCCCCCTTAAATCCCTCCAAAGTTTTAAAGTCGCTTGATTGAATAGTTTTTAAACAATCCTATAGAATGCACCTATTTCATACAAAGCACCCTTGAAAAAAATATCTAAAATACCATTAATTTAAAAACTGAAGCGTATAACATGTCCGTTTTTAGAATTATACAATTCTTAACTGGAAAAAAATATTCAGTTTAAGGGCTTCAAATGGAGCAAAGAGTAACATGCATTTGGTATTTATTAAAAGATAAAATATGCAGTAATTTCCCTGAATACATACTTTAAAAAAGGCAGACTTACAGACTGATATATTGATGTGCTTTTCAATCTGCATTCAATAGTCTTCAATCACGGGGCACCTATTGATTACTTTTATGTTATTAGCAGATGTTTCCACAGTGAGACAAAAACTGAAATTTCACTGTTCCCTGATTACATATTTAAATTATGGTCTAACACTTTTCTTAACTTGCTAAAACTAACATCAATCTTTTGACAAAGGTTGCAATAAACTGCATTGTAAAAAAATGTCATCTTGATGTAAAAAGTCAACTTTTAATACAACACTATCCTTGTGCAGTTGAAAATATAACAGTAAGTCAACAGGGGGGGAAAGCACCACATCACATTTAGCATTTGTCATTGAAAGAAACAAAATCTCCTTTAAAAAGTTGTATGATAGCAAATATTGTAACTTCAAGAAAATAACCACAAAACAACTTTTTATATAAAAAAGGTTTAACAACGTCTTTTTTCAGTATAAAACATTACAGAGACCCAGGCCAATCAAACAAATTCACTGTCACCATTTGAAATAATCATATATTCCCCAGGCAAACGTTCTACAATAACATACAAAGGGTTTTTCTTTTGTTAAGGGGTTTTCTGTACTTTTTTTTTCTAGTTATGGGAAAATATTACAACACAAAACTAACAATCACTCTTTGTTTGCTATAATATTAATGATAAAAAAAAACAAATGTCAACTCCTGGTCCAATCAAAGCCCAAGCCCCAAAACTTCTGGTCAACATGGCATCTATGCAGTTTTCTGCTGGCCCTTCTTCCCAATGAGGGATTTGTGGATGTGGGGAATGACACCTGAAAACAAACAAATACAGAAAAAGCATTCATTGGTTTAATTGTTTTAAACAGTGATCTCCAGGGAAATACTTCATGACATGTCGTATAGATGTAGCAGAGCTAACTGATACCAACAAACAAGCAGGTAGATCTACATACAACCAATGACACATGAAGAGTCAGCTTACCTCCACCAGCAATTGTTGCCTTGATAAGAGAGTCCAACTCCTCATCACCACGGATGGCAAGCTGCAAGTGACGGGGAGTGATACGCTTCACCTTCAAGTCTTTGGAGGCATTTCCTGCCAATTCTAGTACCTGAGAGCAAGAAAACAAACAGATTAAAGTTAGCAGCATCACACAACTCAGAAACGTTGAATACCTATCTCACTGTTAAACATAAACATGCACAAAAAGAGGGAAGGTTTACTTCAGCAGTGAGGTACTCAAGGATAGCAGCACTGTACACAGCTGCTGTGGCTCCTACACGGCCATGGCTGGTTGTACGGGTCTTCAAGTGCCTGTGGATACGACCCACTGGGAACTACCAGGAAAGAGACAGGACAAAGCAGTTAGTTCAAAAATAACAGGGGCAATCTCTGCAAGAGGATGGCAGCACATGACACAAACAGTAAAGCCAAAAACATTGATATGAAGCTTCAGAGTATTTACCTGCAACCCAGCCCTCTGGGAGCGCGACACTGCCTTTGCCTTGGCTTTGCCACTGTCTTTTCCTGCCTTGCCACCAGCCTGCATGAGGTAATTGTAAGGACATTTTTTATTTTTTTTTAACAGGAAACAAAAACATCTTGAACTCAGGCAAGTTGGATGTGGATGTTAAGGGCTTACGTGTTTTAAATGTCTGCATTACACAAACTAAAAACACGAAACAGCACTCTCACTTAGCACATATTGCTACACCAAAGTGTAAGTGTAAATGCTTTGTTTGTAGTTTAATTAATCAAGTTTCAGATCTGTTGTAGCTTTCCCGCCAACCTAGAATAAAAGCGAATAAAACTACAACTAAGATGATAGCGTTTACAATAAATAAAAAACATGCTGCTAATATTTGTTTGTTTTTTTTCCACCCCAGAGATGACTCTTAGGTAATAAAAGTAAGATAAAAGCGACAGAGTGTTTAAAAGAGAAACACGGGGAGCTGTCAGCGGGCTCCTGAGTCCTGACATCCCGCGACAAACAAACAACAGACCCGCCGCTTTAAGAGAGGAAGAGGAGGAGGAGGAGGGGGGGGGTACAGTTTCCATTTGACGAGTTACACACGAAAAATATGTTATCCTATCATTTAAGATCACTAGAAAGTACATAATCGACACAGTCAACACACACTCACTAGACTAGAGTCCTATAATAAGACACTGAGGGGTAACTAGTAACAGACACCTCACCGTGTAGCTCACGAATTAGCCACACTTAGCTTGCTAAAGGTTGCTAACACACCAAAGAAAGACGCTACACCGAATGAAACAAAACGCTTCTCTGCGTCAAACCTAATCCTCCTCGTAAATCACTCCACGTATCCAAACTGGATAGCTTTTTTCAGATAGCGGTCCATTACACTTGGGGTGTTATTAAGAATCAAATACAGACTTCTTAATGCTAACGTGATAGCTGACAGTTAGCAAGCTTTTAACCACACACCCTCTGTTCGCTCCAATTATATAAACATTTTAAAATCCTCACAGCTTGGACAATAACGTGAAAGTATTACTGTGCAAAGATTATTATTTTTTTCCGCAAGTGCATTCAGCGTCAGTCGAGCCGAACTTACCATTTTTTTTATATTATCCGACCAGTTTTTATTTGAATGTGGAAGTGAGTAAAAGATGGCAAACAATTTCGGCTGCCGAAAAGCAAAGAAACAATAAAGCCCTTCGGAAATCTTTTTTTTTTTTTTTTTTTTTGCATGAGACCCCTCGTGGGAGTCCGATCGGCCAATCGGAGCGCGCGTTGTTACTTTGAATCTCACGCCCGTCCAATCGCTGAGCAGATTGCAGAACAGTCACCCATCCCCCCATCAGCAGATCGTCGTGCCTGGCTTTTTGCGCACGACACCAACAAGTAGGCGGGACTGCGTGTTTGAACGTACAAATTAATACATACATTGAAAGCCAAAAATGGGTTTATATTTTTTACCTACAAGTGCATACAGAACGTATTTTAATCGTCTGATATGTGTATGATCACTGCATTATAAATTGGTTATTGCAACAGTTACTAAGTTCACAGAAATATGTTTTTTTCAGCAGAAAGTACCGTGTAGTAAGACGTAAATTGAGCGCTGCTGTGGATGTACCGAATAATTCCCTCTTTAATGTCATCCAGTAGGCGGTTTTCCCCTGATAATGACAGGCAGCGTTACTAGCCAATTAAAACGCAGGAAATCAAGACGGCCTTTTTTGATTGACAGTTGCTTCGACAAATCAGAACCCAGAACCCCTGCGTCCCGATTTCCTCTGCTAGCTTGGCAAGCAAGGGAGAGGAGGAGGGGGGTGTGTGTGTGGGGGGTCAAAGATACGCAGAGAAACGGGCTGCTGGTGGTGAAGATGGCGGATGGGGACAGTGGCAGTGAGCGCGGTGGCAGTAGCGGCGGTGGCGGCGGCGGCGGCGGCAGCAGCGGCGGTGGCGGAGGCGGAGGCGGAGGCAGCGGGTTTCAGCATTACCAGCGGGAACCGGAGACCCAGGAGCTCGCATCGAAGCGGCTGGACATCCAGAACAAACGCTTCTACCTTGATGTGAAGCAGAACGCCAAAGGCCGGTTCATCAAAATCGCCGAGGTGGGCGCCGGGGGCTCAAAAAGTCGACTGACCCTCTCCATGTCAGTCGCGGCAGAGTTCCGCGACTACCTGGGGGATTTCATAGAGCACTACGCCCAGCTTGGGCCTAGCACCCCGGAGCAGATCGCACAGTCTTCCGGTGGGGACGACACCGGGCCTAGGCGGGCCTTGAAGAGCGAGTTCCTGGTGCGCGAAAACCGCAAATACTACCTCGACCTAAAGGAGAACCAGCGGGGTCGGTTTCTCCGGATCCGGCAGACCGTCAACCGAGGCCCCGGCTTCGGAGTCGGAGTGGGTGGCATCCCGGGGGCTGGCATGCAGGCCGGACAAACCATCGCTCTCCCTGCCCAGGGCTTAATAGAGTTCCGCGACGCCTTGGCCAAGTTGATAGACGACTACGGGGGAGATGAGGAGGATTTGGCCGGCGGCGGAGGGGCAGGGGGCTACAGCGAGCTCCCCGAGGGCACCTCGATCATGGTGGACTCCAAGCGGTTCTTCTTTGACGTGGGATCCAACAAGTACGGAGTTTTCTTGAGGGTGAGCGAAGTGAAGCCCAGTTATAGAAACTCCATAACAATCCCGTTCAAGGCGTGGAGCAAGTTCGGCGGAGCGTTCAGCCGCTACGCCGAGGAGATGAAAGAGATCCAGGAGCGGCACCGGGATAAGATGTACGAGAGGAGAGCCGGAGAGGAGTCCGAGGGCGAAGACGTGGACGACGATTGATGGATGGATGGGATGGGATGGTAGAGCTTGGCCTGCTCGTGATGAAGCTTGACAACATGACGACAAGCCCGGAGATAGATGGAGAATCTGACATAAAGGAACGACTATTGTGTGCATGACGAATCGAACTTTAAAATGCTAAAACAACGGAGTGGAAAATAAATAGTATATTTGACTGAGAAAATAATGTCTATATAAGAAAACCATGTTCTAAAGTTTAGGTGGATGTTATAGATGAATGAGTGCGGACTGCATTAGTCAGCTCCTGTATAAGATTCCCCATTGATAAAATATATGTATAGGTATATCTATATATATATAAATATCTATATATAGATATATTGATTGTCTATTTGATAACCTCACACATGTAGTCCAGCAACTTAAGTTTGATGCAGCAGTTCCCAAGCAACCCTTCCTGGTTGATATCCAGTGGTAACAGCTCACCTGGCTCTGACCTGTTTTCTGTGAAATTATGAAAGGAAGTGGTGCGTATTTTGGAGTGAGACAGAGCGCCTGCATCTCAGTTACGGTGTGAGTGTGTGTGTGTGTGTGTGTGTGTGTTTTTGTCTGAAAGGAAAGGGACAACTTGACTGGACAGAACGACAACACCCAGGGCCACAGCCTCATCTCTAGGGGGGCATCCTTGGCATCGCAGGACATTCACTCATCCCAGCAAGGGTCCCGTAAGGTGATCTGTTACAAGCACACGACTCATTTGGACTCTCTGGACAATCCAAATGAGTCCAAATGACGCCCTCCCTTCTTCTCACTTTTCCCCTCCCTTGCTCTTGTGGGTCCCTCAGGTGCTAACCTCCTGCTCCGATAGCTGATATGTGGTGAAGACTGCTCACACGTGGCTTCTTTTGTCTCAGGTCCAGTGAGTCCAATCTATATTTTAAGGAAATATCAGCATAACCTGTGCCTGCGCATCATCAAGAGGTTCTGAGTGCAGACACCATCAGCCAGGTGCTGCAGCTGGGACACCTGTGGCTACTGATGATGTCTGATATTATGCAGGCCCACTTCTGAACCCTGTGACCTTTTTATGTCAAAAGGGGACACGGTGAGCACGGGCTTCTAGCACTGGTCACGATTTTCTGAGTTAAAGCTTAATATTGCCAGACTTGAGCTATGGTCTCAAGGGAATTGACCTTGTGGACTTATTTAGGGTGCGCCATTTGGATCCTTAAATCTTGAACACAGACCATTAATGACTGAAGCAATATTCAGTCTGATTGTAAGAAAAATTAGGTGCTTTTGGAAAACAAAACCCACAGGGGGGTGCTGTACCTTAAGGGTGAGAGGAAAAGAAAAATGATATACTGGAAAATAGATTTACTTAATAAAAAAAAATTCAACTATAGATACAATTATTTTTCAAAAGAGATTTATGAAAATATGTCATAGAAATATGAGACATTTATTAGATAACAATGCCTAAAGTGGCTTATTTAAAACACTAACACTTTGGATGCAACTGTCCAGGGTGATATTTCATAACTGTTTTTTTCCTAACATTTCTTTTATTGCTTAGAGGAAATTAAGAAGAGGTCAGCAAATTGATAACACAGTATGTTATAGCAATTTCTAGCAACAACTACATTAAAGTAGTTTGTCAGCAAACACTCAGCACTCCAGTTCACTTTACATAGCATCCAGTTGTCCCCTCGTTTCAGTCCACCCTTTTAACCATGTTATGTCACAATTTGGCTCTCCCATCAGTTGTCATAAGACACAAACGTACACAATCTGCAATCATCAACATTTTGTCTTGAGTGCTCCTTTTCAAATATGATAATTTTTGCATGCCTGCTCTAACGCAGAGCTGCCTTGTGTTCTTTTATTTGCATACTCTGATTGCTGTATAATGGTATTTATCCATATTTGAGAGCGGTTTCAAGTTTTCTTTCTTGCAATGAAAAAAAAAGTTTACTTCTCAGCCGAATAAAAAAATCCACAAAGTTCCTGTGCTTTGCGGAATGACACTTTTTATTGTCCTACTTCATTTGGTGTGTTAACCTCTTGTTGAATTTTACTTTTACTTCATTCACTTCAACACATCAAACGCAGAGATGCCATAAGAAAAAAAAAACATGGGAGCAATATTTCTTTTTATTTTCTATTGATTATAAATATACTATATATAATATTACACATGAGATTGAACTACATCCTTCTTCCTGTACTGTGTTACGTGAAATGGCAGCTGTTTCAGTCGTGTGTTCTGCTGTAATATTCTATCGAGTTCCTTTCAACGAGAAATAAAAGGTTTTTGCTCAGGAGAGGTGTTGGTCTTTTTATCTCACACTTCAGGGTATCACTTTGTCTCTACAGAACCAGTGCAAGCAAGTGTTGTTTACATATTTTTCATTCTGATCATTTTTTTACCAGAAGGTTGATTTGTCGATGCATCATTTTGTTTAAGATGTCAAATCATTCATGTTCATGGCATTATTCTAAATGTTAAGGGCATGTCTTTAAATTGATTTATTTGACAAACATCAAATAACTCTAAATGCATATGTAGTTAAATATAGTCTAGTTTCTAACATCAGGAGTTAAGTTTTAACAACATTGTTTCTTGTCAATTTTTAACTTGGAATGTTTTGTTGTTGCAAAAAACCCAAGAACTTTGTTTTCAGAGTTAAACAATAACAGTGAGAGCAAAGAGGTTTACATAAGCCAGCATGTGAACCTAACCCTCCTATCATTAAAATGACAGGTAAGTAAATTATCTGATTCTCCTCTCTGATGAAGGTGTGTCAGTAAAATCATTTACTAAGATTTTTGTGGTTGCAAAGATACTGATGGGCTCAGAAGAAGGGGTGCTCCAGCATAAATAGTTGCCCCGGTAAGGCTGTGTATCAATTACAAAATAGATTAATCTATCAGCTCTCATATGTTTTGCAGTGGAGTAAACAGGGATAAAAATCTCCTTCTTGAGTAGTAAAGAAGAAGTGTGAAGTAGTGGAAAATGGAAAAACTACAGGAAGTACCTCAAAGTTTTACCTGAGTTACGTTTCAGCAAGGCCACTTGGTCTGGTTTCTTGTATTTTTATGATGTGAGAATGGAGGAGTAAAATATCAAGAGTTAAGTGTGGTATAATGCCAATTAAATTTATTTTAGCTTATCATTTGAAAATTATTATTTTTTGTAATTTATAACTAGAACAAGGTCTTGAATAGAAAGATGAAGATGGGGGGGGGGGAAAGAGATAAAAGTACCAACATATCCAAAGTGAGGAAGCTCATTATATTACAACCAATGGCCTATTCTACATTACTTAAACATAAAGCACTTTAAGTCATGAGACTTTAACTAGTAAATATAAGCTTTAATGTAATTATGCATCACATTCCATTCCATTATTTTAAG